AATATTCGAATTCCTTTTTCGTAGAATTTTGGATACGCAGGATTGTTAAAACAATTACAACTGATTTAGCCGTCAAACTAAAAAATTCTGTCTTACTATCGATAAAAAACCGCTCAGGTAAATCAAATTTTACCTGTTATCTTTGTTTCGACTTTATCAGGAAATTCTTTGCCCACTCCTAGTCCACATACGGAGCGTACGATAATCTGAAACTCGTACGTGGAACCGGGAGTTAAACCTTTCATAGTATAGGAAGTGGTACTGTCAACGTCTTGGACACCTTCCTCTCTAAAGCTTCCATTGTAAGGCTTTGTTCCGTGATACTTCACCTTTAGAAACAAAGATAGATTCATGTCTAACTGACGTAACACAGCTTTTCAACAGTCTTTCTCAGAGGAGAAAACTGATTCCATTTTTGCATTCAGGAAATACGCCACGAAAGAACAAAGACTACCACCGAAAGAAAAAAAACACGAAATGTATCAGCGCAAGTGTCACTCAAATATAATTTTCCAAAACAGAAAAGCGACCTATTCTGTCTATCTGGCCTGCTTATCCAAAACATCCAGCAGAAACTACAAAAAAGGCTGAACGCATAATAGCTGGCATCAAAAATTAAAAAGTGGCGTTAGTTTTAAGGTATGAGTTCAGCTTCTACCAGAAAATAATGCAGGTTCACTTCAAGTAAAGTCTTAACTTATATCAAGTTATCCCCATGCCCACCATAACACATCATTTTATCTTTTTCGTGCAACTCACTCTATAGCTGAGGCCTTCTTTTGTCATGAGCTCTGGTTCTTTCCATTCCAGCGTCACTTGGGTTGCTCCAACGTTTGTTGCAGTTAACCCCCAAGGCGTTCCTGGGCCTTTGAGAAAAGTGAGAATAGTTTTAATACTTACCGTAAATATAAATTTCCCTAAAGAAGTTGAAAATTGCAGACAGGTATCGCACAATTCAGTTATTTGCATCGCGTTTGAAACTGTCCCAAAACCTAAGCTATTAAAAAAAATTTAAATTCAAGTGTTTTCTTTCTCGCGTTCCAACGGTTTCCGTCACAGCCAGCTTGAAATTGAAGTAAAAAATGAGCTCATGGCGTTTTCCTTTAATATTTTTGGTTGATTCTATTTCAAGACCACAGTTACATACATATGTTGACCAGTTCATTCTAAGCGGTGGGATTGTTAACGAATGAAAAAGACAAAATGGGAAATCCAAGATAGTGGATGCCTAAGAAAGGTCAGACGTCAACTCCGTCTAGATAGTTTTAGAGCAGTCAGAATCCACTTAATTCGATTTTAACAGTAATCAATTTTAATAAAACTCGTTAAGTCAAAACATGTCTCGAGGCCTGCGACAGATACTGACTGATTTAATTCCTTTTTTTCCTCTTTATTTATAAAGTACGTGTTTTGATTTGCTTTTTGAGATGTCTACCTTTGTCTTGATGAGCCAATGAGATTACTGGCTTTGGCTGACTTAATTCGATCGTACTACCTACCTGCTGTTCTCGGTAGTTCTACAGGTGGACCATATGGACCGGGTCCTACTTTGGTATAAGCTCGAACAGACACTTGGTATTGCGAACAAAGCAATAATCCACTCAATAAAATGAATGTATTTGTTGTATTAACTGTTTTGCTGCTCAGAGAAGCTCTTTTCTGTCGTGTTCCCCGAGACAACAATTCTTCTTTGACGTTATACAGAATGATGTCACCATTGCTCAGTTCTCTTGATAGAATTGGCCATGAAATGTTAAAGGTGGTTTTGTTCACCTCAGAAGATGATACATTAGCTGGGCCACCCCTTGGTTCTAAGAGAAAAAAAATTCAGTCAAAAGTTAAAAATCGTGTCCTTGGAAGTTTTTAGGGTCTAAGCATGTCATTTCCAACCCATCTAAATTTTCTTCGTCCATAATCACCATCGTTAATCTTTGTTTAATTCCAATAAATTTTTTAATCTTACCCAACTTATGTTTTGGATTTTATCAAAATTTAATTTCATTATTTCGCGACACAAAATCAGACTGAAATAAACGTACCGGTAATGTGAATCTTGCTTTTCAGGAACATCGATAAAATACGGAAAACAGAGTTTTGCACTTACTATATTCTGGGACATCAACAGTTAAAGAGGCATTTTTTCCAGGTTGTATGATCTCAGCTCTGACCTCAAACCAATAGGTGACTCCACCCAACACATCAACTGTGTGACTAAACACATCTGGTCCAAATCTCTGATGGTGAACATTATGTGGATCTTCACTGTGGCGGTAAAACACGGTGTAGCTCCTAATAACTCCATTTGATAGTGAAGGTGATGCCCAGGATAAAGTTATCATTGGTCCCCGCAACTCAGTTGGTGTTTTAAGGGTATGATTGAAGGAAGCAGGAGGACCGGGTGCTAAAAAAGAAGTTATAATTAAAAAAACCTTAAGAAATTAATAAAGTGCTGTAGGAATTGCACTTAACTTTGTTTATTGTGTAAAACAATAATTACCTTTAAGGTAAAGAAATTCCCCTAGGGTGCTAATGAAGTTAGTGTCTTACCACCTAAAGTTGTTTCTACGCCTTTCACAGAACTCTTTGGTCCATCACCAACAGATGTGAAGGCTAAAACTTGAAACTCATAATCTGTATGAGATTGTAGCCCAGTGACGGATGTGGACCGAATTGCTGCATCATGGATGAGTAGCTCGACCGTTGAGTCCACGTCACCATTTGCATCTCTGTAAAACAGTTTATATCCTCTGATAATTCCATGTCTAGACTCTTCAGGTGGTAACTGCCACGTAGCTAAAACACTGGTAAAATTGCTGGCTGCCACAGTTAAGCCACCAGGAGGTTTTGAAGGGACTAAAATTAAGATATAATATTGTTAAATGGAATTTAACATAGTTAACGACTAGGAGCTGATCTGTCAGTAGCGTTTTTGCAGGCGTGCTGTTAGCGTACTGGTCATTTGTTGGCATTTGCACAGCGTTCGTTTGTGTTCTGTAGCATTTGCAACTGAACCATGTGTTGTTAGAGAGACCTGGGGCCTTATCATCAGTGTATGCATTGTTTTGCCATTTGCTTGCATTGTGTTTGTTGTTCTATAGCATGGTGCTATTGTCCTTATAAGGATAACTAACCTCAGCAGCTCCTCCCTCCCATCCCCAGTGCTGGCTAGGTCCCTTGTCCAGGTGTTTATTTCTGGTAATTTATTTATTCAGTTGAGCAATCAAGCTCTCGTGTGACAAGTGGCTGTGATCATACTCGTGATCGGAAACAAAGAAAATTCCATTTGGCGCTCAGCTTTGAAATGAACTTTTCATCGGTTGATCGCTCGTGCTCGTGTTTTGCTTATTAATACAACTTCTCTTGAGTGGCACAAATGGAGAGCAAGTCGTTGACGCCGTGGAGTTAAAAGAAGGGACAACAGTTCACACATTGATTGGCCGGTACAAGGGTCAAACGGCCATTTATAAAGCTTCGATTTTGAAAGTTTGTGGTGAGTACAAATTGTGATATTCGGTACGTGATCAAAACTGAGAATCGAATCGGTCACTTGCACGCCACAATTTCTTAAGCTTACGCTTTACGATGAAATAAATCTATATCAATATAAAGCTGAAGCTTTCAGGATTATTTTAGTCACGTTTGACAAGCTGCGAGCCCAGCGAAAAAAGGCAAACAGGCTTTAAGTCTACAGTTAAGGATAACTTCATTACAATTTATTGTTAGTTACAAGATTGTAATTCGATCAAAAATCAATTATTCAACTGTAATTAAGCCCTTCAATCCCAATAGTGTTAAGTCAAAATTGAGTAGAAATCTTTGAATTTCAATTCGCAGAATCAATAAAAACAAACAGTACCACATGAAAGTTAAATGTTGCTTGACAGCTTACGTTTGAATTTTAGCACACAAGAGTTTTATTGTATTGCAAGCATACAGCTACATATACACTGTAGTATAGTCTTTGGCACAAGTGAAGAGGTGACTTTTTCATTCCAAAATTCATTGAGTCTCCAAGGATTATTTTCATGGTGCTTACATATTCCCAAGAATCCCATGAAACTAACTGGCTATTAACTTTCATGTGCCATGAAAATTCTGTGAAAATTTTCAAGGTCAATGAATTTTTTGTGTCATGATTTCTTACAACCCATTAAAACCTAGTGAATTTTAACACCAGGAATTTTTTTGACATGAAATTCATACGTGAATATGCAAATTTTCACAGGTTTTTCATGGGATTTTTCATGTCTTTTTCATGGCACAGAGACTATGAAAAATCCATTGATTTAACCATGAAAATCCTGTGAAAAATCTGTGAATTTACCATGAATAAATTCACAAGATTTTCATGGGTTTTGATTTCATAGTGATATATATGCAAAATCAAACATAAAATTATTGCCCCTTCATTCCAACCCAACTTTACAATTATGGGGCCTCAAAAACAGACCGAGAGTGGATTAGTACAATCGCTACAATGAAGTTTCTTACCATCTTCCTTTGTTCTTTCCACCACAACAGAATTCTTTGGTCCATCACCATGAGATGTAAAAGCCAGCACTTGAAATTCATATTCTGTGTACTTCTCCAGACCAGTAATATCTCTAGAAAAGGTGATTCCACCATTGATAGTTGACACATTCATTGACTCCATAAACCCTTTCTTTTTGTAGAACAATTTAAATCCTGTGATGTTGGCATGTCTGGAATATGCAGGAGGTAACTGCCAGGATGCTGTAATACTTGTAGAAGAGCTTGCAGATAAAGTCAAGTTACTGGGTGCTTGTGAGGGCACTGAAATTAAGACAGTATAATAATTGAATAATAGCAGTAATAATGATGATGATCATTATAATAAATGAAAATGGCCGTTTTCACACTAGAGGATGGACAAATCGTCTGGACGGACAAATCGTCTTAGACGAACAAATCGTCTGATGTGAAAACGGGACGAACAAATTTTTCGAAGAACAAATCGTCTGATATTTGGCCATCTGGAAAGACGATTTTTTGAAGACGATTTGTCCGTCGAGACAAACAAGTCGACGACAGTACGACTTAAATTCATATCAGACGTGAAATGTTCGATTTTCTCACCACGAGGAAATGGGACTAGCAACAGAGCGAGGTTTTATGGGAAGTTAACGTGGCGGCAGCCATTTTGCTTTACAACACGACCTAGTGCCAGTTCTTTTCGCGCTCATAAGACGGACAACTTTTCGGCATTTGGCCTTCTCGAATTCAAATTCAACGAACAAATGCCAGTCGATTTGTCCGTCCAGACGATTTGTCCGTCCTCTAGTGTGAAAACGGCCAATACAATATATTAGTAACAATGCTACTTAAATTACATCCTTCATTTTCAGTGCATAAAAATCAGCTCATGTGGTATTTAATGTAATGATCAAATTCACTACCTGGCACCTGAGCTAACTGTACACTAAGCATCTCTAGTTAGTAAGTACGGTTCAAGGTTCATTTATTTCACACTATGTACATAAAATTAACATAGATAGAAAAGTATAATTGCAAAAAATTATTACAGAATAAAATTAAATAAAGTATACAGATTATAAAAATGTGGGTGGTCAAGTAGCAAAGGCTTTCTAGTTGGCCATCACAAGTCTTTCTAGTTGGCTACCAAAGTGAAAAGTCAGCTGAGTTACAAAAGCATTAATTTATACACATGCAGGCGGCCCAAGCTCTCTTTGAGAATTAACCACACAAGGAACACAATTTGCATAATTTATAAGGATTTGTATGGGATTTTCTGCAAGATATCCATAGAGATAGTTAAAAGTGAAAATATTAAATGAAAATGGCTTACCTTATTCCATACGTGTGTTGTTTGCTCCTGGTGTCATTATTTTACTGATTTCACTTGATTTAAGTGGTATTTTTTAATCCTCAACCACATAAAGAGAAGACTGGTAGAGAACCGGGATTAAAAAAAAAAACGCTTAAATCAGGTGAAATTGGTAAAATAACAACACCAGGAGCAAACAACACAGTCACGTATGGAATAGGGAAAGCCATTTTTATTTAATATTTTCACTTTTAACTATCTTTATGGATATCTTGTAGAAAATCCCATACAAATTCTTATAAATATGCAAATTATGTTCCTTGTGTGGTTCTCAAAGAGAGCTAAATGGGCCACCTGTGATTTATAAGGTCTTTAAAAGGAACTGTTGGGGGCAAGGGAAAAGAGTGTTATCGCGAAACTGATTCAAACAGTCAAACTTTCCATTTGTAGATCCCTTCAGATCAGACTACCACCACCATTTAACATATACATGTAGGTACAGATCCAGAAAATGGCACTCTTTAATATAATTCTGCCTACATGATGTTTTCCTACAGGAAGTGTTCATCAAGTTTTATAAATTACAATGTATATATTCAACAACCAAAGATGCTTAAAATTGCAGAATGTAAAAATATGATGACGACAAACAACAAAATAATACCTTTGGATATAAGTACTCCATACACCTCTACTCTCAAAGCTTTCCTTCTCTGAAACTTGACAGGCTGGAAACGGATGAACCTTGCCCTCACGTCTCTGAGATTATGTTTGACAATATCATGTCTTCCAGAATTGCCACTAAAAACCTAAAACAATTTCATGAAAGTACGAGTTAATGATTTAACTGTTGATCAATTTTTTTGTTCATGGCATGGCAGACTAGAATATCCAGAGCAGCTAGCAGCCAGCTGTCAGTACATTCTCCAGCTAGCCAATGTAACAGCTATAGGCCACTGTGATTAAAAGTGTCCAGAATTGCTCCCTTTTTCTTGCTTTATAAGGTCAGTTAATCCAATTTACATTTCAGGTGTAACTGACAAATGTCCAGGTCTTCAGGAAACTTGCTACACATGCTGACTGAGATGCTCAGCCCATAACATCTACGTTCCTTCCTTTTAAAGACATGCTTATATATCCAACTCAAAATAGTTATAATGCTTGTTGGTATTTAAATATCAAGCAGTACCATAAAAGGTTCTGCATTTTAAAATTGTGACCCTCTTCTTTTAGTCTAAGAACACAACAACCATTTGACATTAAGTTAATTAATTTTTCTCCAGGGTTCCGAATTCCGTATGCAGAGACTTAAGGCCCTCACATCACTTTCAAAATCTCTCACTATGAATATCTTGTACAGCCCTGTATTAATTAAATCTCTGCTGTGGCTTTTTTTAACCAACCTTGTCAACATTGTTTTCCTTGTAGGTCACAAAAGTGGAACCGTCAAAGGATAGCTGTAACTTGTACTCTGTTGTCCAATCATCAAAATTTGACCTTCCTTGAGTAGCTACAGCACAAATAAGAAACTCATACTGCAGATCAATTTGCAGATAATCATCAGGTCTGTCATTTCCGCTGGGTCTCCATGCCCTATTTGCATTTAGTCGACCTTTAAAAGCTTCAAAATTGCTCTCTCCACTTGATGCTGAGAAGCTGGCATCAGGGAGTGTGTCATTGCTAGCCACACCAATGGCTTGCATTTGGCAAGCTGAAATCAGTCAAAATAGAATGATGAACAGGTTAACTATAATTAAAAACTAGAAAGAATATATATAATTATAAATCTGCTAGATAAATCCAAAACTAATTTGCATTTGTGTAGAATTCAGTATCTGCAGGTTCTGCAGTAAAATCAAGACAGAAGAACTGTCACCTAAATATTTTAGAGTAAAGGCTAGGAATGGTTTTATTGTAAGGTAAAGTATTATATGTCTTGAGAACCTACATGTAAAAGCATTTATGAAAGTTTTCTTGTGCAGATCGATCTGCTAGTACAGCAGAAAGCCCTCTTATAAACCAACTCAAACAAGAATCAAGAATTGATTTGAAGTAGTAGGGGTAAATTAGTATTCTCTGTAAGTTACAGTTCCATCAAGATTTTAATTAAAAAATCAATTATTTAACTTTAATTAAGCACTTCACTCCCATGAGTGTTAACTCAAAATTGAGTAGAAATCTTTGAATTCCAATTTGCAGAATTAATGAAAAGCAAACGGTATAACATGAAAATGCTGCTTGACAACTTACATTTGAATTTTAACTACGAAAGGAGTTCTGATTGCATGGAATTTATTGTTGTAATTTATAATATAATCCAATGATGTATTTCATTGTAAAATAAATTTTTTTGCATTAAAAGATAATTAAGAAGCAGTACTCTTTCATTGTACAAACTTTAGGTTTTTTGTCATGGTCAGTTGCACCAAAAGTATTAAAGTCATGAATGTCATACCTAAGTTTGAATGCTAATCTGACTCAGCCAAGCATGTAACACTGCTGAATGCATGCACTATGTATGAACTGGTGGTTGCACGCCTGTCAGTGCGTATTAATTAACCTAGCTGTAGCCATTCATTTACATCTTGAATATATTCTAAGTATATTTAAAGTATACTGTACTTATCAGTTTGGCATTAGTGATTTTACTCTTTAAGTATACTTGGAGTGCACTGCAAAATTTTCTGTACCTTTCAAGTGTACTTCAAGAGTTAATAGTTTTGGGTGTTCCAATTTCAAGTGCATGGGAACAAGTACTACTTTTAGTAACTCTCTAATCTATACTTCAAGTCTACTGAAAGTATACTTTGCGTATCTTATTCGCATTATACTTTGATTACAAGAAATGGTATGATGCAGGGCTCAAATTTAATTTTTGGATCACTAACCCTTTGGGTTAGTAGACATAACCAAATTATCAAGTTTGGTATCCAAGCTCACAAGTTACGATATCTCACATATTAAACATTTTGACAATAAGGACTAGGAAAAATTAAAGAGTAGCTGAAATTGCATGGTGACCTTACAAGCATTGACAATTATGCACCTATTTTATTTCCCTCTCGTTTACCATGAAAATTAGTCAAGAACAGTACATCTACAGCACATTTTTTAAAAAGAGTTTAAGTTGATTAAACAACTTGAGTATTTTAAGTATTTCTCTGAGAGGCGGGTCCACGTGCTTTTTGCCCTGAGGTCTACCAATGTTTAATTATGTTAGAAAACTTTACTAACCATGTCGGGTTAGTTGGACACTTTTTTAGTAACCAAAGATTAAAAATTACCAACCATTGGTTAACAGGTTACTGTTAATTTCAAGCCCTGTGATGAAAGTGTACTTAATTTTGGTAAGGGTCATCAGTCATGTTCAGAATAATTATGACCAAGATCATAGAGACAATGCATAAGGAAAAAACCTAGTATGAACTAGTGTACATTATAGTGTTGCAGCTGTATACCTCCACTGTGCAATAAGACAGGACTTCAATTAATGTGAGTTTGTCAAACAGATAATGGTATTTTATATAAGATGTGTTACCTCTCCTTTCAGAATAAACTTCAACTTCACAGAGGGTGAAGTGTTCGTTGTCGGTTCTCAAACTTCTTATTGTCACATATCTTCCAAATAAAACAGGACGACAGAAAAAGGATACACCTTCTCCTTGTGGTAGACTATAATTCTCCTTATCACCACACCTGGGATTGGTAATCCCTCCATTATCAGATACTGTGCCTAAAGGAAATTACAAACAATTTCCACTTTAGCAGGAAAAGTAATCAAGAACTTGTTTACCCTACTACTGTTACACAATGGTATATATGAGAGTGTCACCTGAAGCCAGATGGCTAACACTATTGGAGATCGATCACAACAATTAGCTTGAGGGTAGGACATTTCTTATCCCTCTGGGCCTACAAGTTGTTGTAAGGTTGAATAATGCTATCCAGTGGAAAAAATTTCATCCACCCAGTGGAAAGCACAATACACTTTGTTGACATGTGCCTCCTAGAAAACAATGTATCAGTTAAATAGCATTTATATCCATCCTGTAGAAAACTGGGCCTTGGTTTACATGATGAAAACAAAACAGAAAGAGGAACAAGTCCATTAGGGCAAGTGTTTTATGTTCAGCATCTATTTAAATTGTGTATTCCCCATGCAGTGTAAAGGGAAAACATGAGAGTAATGCGCTTCCAACTCCAAAAAGTAATGCAGGGCTAGCAACAGGACCTTCAGATCCAGAGTCTAGCTACCATTATTCCATCACAATTCTTCCTCATTCAAAGCTGAAGGAAAGTGATAATTATGATACCAATGACATAACTTTTTTGTTCAATGGTTCTCTGAATATAGATATCTCAGATAAGGTTGATTGCAATCCACTAGTTGAAATGTGTAGACAATAATTATTTGAAACCTTTTTCACACATTTCCAACATTATGAGACTGTCTCACAATGTTGGAAATGTGTTAAAAAAGACATAAATTGTTGGCACACATTTAACTGGTGGGATAGTTGAAACATGTTGACCATACAGTAGGTTAGATATCATAATTATTTACAATTCCGATACTATATGCATATCCCCAGGCTTTCTCTATGTTGCATGCCTACCCACTCTGATCTCAAAATTATTCTGTCTGAAAAACCATTCATCTGCTTGGTTGACTAAGTATACTTCTGAAACTGGTTCAACCTGTCCCAGGTCAACTCTCCACCAAGGGTTGTCTTCTCTGCGAGTGTGGGTACAGCTTCTTGCCTGATAGCTTGTGTCACTTATACCATCAACTGCCCTGCTACTTACACCACCATACTGTACACTACTTTGATTTGTCTGTTTTCTAAATGCAAGATTATCTGAAATGACATATTCAACTAGGTTAATCAGAATCTGGTTACATTTAATTGTGGTCAAAAAAGATTTTGGAACAAGGCGCATCACTTAAATTTAGCAAAAACATTTGAAATTTTGCTACAGATATCCTGACTCAATACCAGTTAATTTCTGTGTTAAATGACATGTACCTCGCAAATAGATTTCCACTTCACAGAGTTGAAGACTATGTTGCTTTGTGGTTAATATCCCAACATATCTGCCAGTTGTCAGTGGGTTGGTGAAACAAACAGCTGATGCTGTGAAGTTAACAAAACTGTACAGTCCTTTACACTGAAGGTTGTTTACTACTTCTGAGTTGTCACCTGACGATTATAAAAAAAAAACAGTTCATATCAATTTAGTGTACAGAACAAATATGCAATATACTAATGTATAAATGTATTTATTAATGTAATTAAATTTGTTTTCCCCCTCTGAACTAGGTTTTGGTAACCAAAATTTCAAACTAAGGCGAATAAAATTTTCATGCATGCACATGTGCAGGGAAGTGTAAGTGTACAATTGAATCACTAACAAAGAACAGAATATATATCCATCATTATTGTTTGAAGCAATTAATTATAATGATTTACTATCCAAAGTATATTGAAGGTTCAAATATATCTATTCAGCAGCAACAGAAACATAAAACTGAAAAAAGCCACAAAACTCCCTATACGACCTTCTTTTCATAATATTTAATAATATTGTACATACATATACTTGCGCATGATGAAACTTTGCATAAAATTGGTTGAGATTGTGCCTAAAACTATGGTTTTCCAACCTTACACGCTGAAAATGCCCTTAAGTATAATACTTATATTGTACCCTTTAACTTACGCTTATCTCATCTTGATAACAGGAAATGTATAAGGACTACTCACCCAATGTAATGTTATAGTTTCTATTTCTAGCAATCACGGGAGATGTTGAAATTCTGTTGACTATGAATATGTCAGAGACTGCCACCTTATCTGGACCCAGGTCAACCCTCCACCAGCTAGGATTGTTTGCCTGAGTATGTGAACAGCTTCCATTTCTAAATTCTGTGTCAGAATTACCATCCACTGCTTTCCCTGACACACCTGACACACCCAACTGAGTATTGTTGAATGTCGATGACTGAAGAGTGGGCTTCCTAAGGGCAAAATTCACTGTGTAAAAACAAAAAGAAATAAATATCACCTAAGATTTAGGTTTTGCACTTATCAGCCCAAAGATATAAACTAATGTTAGAGTCAGCTGACTCCCAAGTGAGAGAAGTAAGTGCAAATAAATAATTATAAATAATAAAATAATAAATAATAATATAAAAATAATATAAAATATAATAATATAAAAATAATAATATAAATAATAATATAATAATAAATAATTACAACCGCCGCCTGGTTAGCTCAATTGGGAGAGCGCCGGACTGCTGTGCGGGAGGTCGAGAGTTCAATACCGGCCGGACCAACACTCAGGGTCTTAAAATTAACTGAGAAGAATATGCTTCCTTTCTTTAACATCAAGAAATGGTTAGATATTCTAGTCTTCTCGGATAGGGACGAATAAATGGAGGTCCCGTCTCCTGCAGGGTTAGGGGCAGGAGACGTTAATTTCCCACGCACGAGATTACTGTGTGATGGATGTCCTCCCCTGGGGTGGGTTGGGTGGGTATACAGCGCTTTGGACAATTAGTGGATTTTAGCGCTATATAAATACAATTATTATTATTATTATTATTATTATTATTGTTGGTTGAAATAGTCTGAATAAGCTCTCAAAATCATTAGAATAGAAAAAAAAAGAATAAGGTGATAGGATTTTTGTGCTGCCTCCACATCAGTAGCCAGAGTAAAAGCTAAGTTTTCCTCAAAGGATAAGTTTGAATATGAAACTTTTCCTACAAGGTCAAGATCTCTCCTGTGAATCAACTCTTTGTTGGAAAATGGTGTCCAATCTTTGTTCCGGATACTTCATTTATTGTATGCAATTTTACTTTATCTGAAAAGTAAGCATGCATGGATACCACATCTGTCACCATTTATGAATTAACCTACAGTTTGTGTAGAGGTGTTAAGCATTTTAGGAAAAATGAGAAGGAATTCAGAGTACAAAGAAAACATTCAACTTCACATTGCTAATTATTTTTTATACATGGTTTTGCATTGTCACATCAAAATACATCTGAGTTGTGATTCCATGTATTTTTTTTGTGTGCGTATCTATTTTTGATTCTTAAAATAGTTTCCATACACCAGCTTGATTAACCCATCACTCAAACCTGGTTTTCGCTTGACACCGAACAACTCCACCCTGATACACCTGGCACCATGGTACGCTTTTGGAAATATTCGTATGTAGCGTGCTTCGAGACTTTCATAAAGAACATGTTTTACCTCAGAGTCTCTGTCACTATTTCCCTGAAAGGTCTAAATTCAAAAGTAACAACTTCAAATAAAATTGTGCAAGTCATATATTTCCAAAAAAATATGTGAATGAAAATAACATACCTCTTATTGCTGAAAGCAACAGTATCTTTTGGTTCTTGCTCATCTATGTTCCACCCTTTCATTTTTACACAATTTCACCTCAAACAGTATTTTCAAACTAGCTTTTGCAAGCTTAGTGGTGGCATTCAGTTTTGAAGTCAGTCATTATTTTCAATGGGAATCTTTTAGTATCTTAGGGGTATGGTGGCCTAAGAAGAAAAGTGTTTCCCTATATGTCTTTTTTCTTTTTGATTGTGAAAAGAAAATGGCTTCAACAATCTTCTTCATTGATTGCTTCCTAAACAGTGAAAGGTCTTGAGAATGAAATTAGGAATGTGTCTGAATTCATTCTTCAGGAGATTTCAAGGGATGTGAGGCATTTGAATCGCCCATTTCCGAATTACCCTTGGCTTCATTTTTTAAAATGAGTCCTGGCACTCATCCTTTCATATGATAATAAGTTTTCATTCACATGCAAATTAAACTCATTTTCACAAGAATGGTTGAGCACCAGGCCTCGTTTTGAAAATGAGGCCAAGGGTAATTCAGAAATGGGCTATTTAAATTTGCATGAAATATCATTAAAAGTAACATGACATGATCTTTCACATGTTACCTTAACTTTTCCACCTTTTATGTAGTCAGTCCAAGTTGTCCCATCTGTAGATAACTGTAGTGCATAGGTGTTCACCCACTGATCTGCTTCAGAATTCCCTTGAGTGGACACAGCACAGATGGTATAAAGTGTTGGCAAATTAATCTGTAGATATGGGTTAGTGTCACTTGTTCCTGCACACCATGATGATCCTGATGTGTAGTTCAGTCGACCATTCTTGGCAGGTGTGTTGGCACTTTGTTGAGATGACGTAGTTATTTCATCGTCAGAAATTTTTCCATTTCCCATTCCCAGATCCAAATCAACACAGTCGGCTGAGAAGAAAGAATGGACACTTCCAGGTGTTTCAAACATTCTAAATGGGTTTATTTTTATGGTAAACCCATATAAAGTGGGGATTACTACCTAAATAATTGACACAGCAAACACGAAGTACAAATAACTCAAGAAATCATTACCACTTTGCCTAACTGCTGTGTCAAAATTGTTGCTTTAGAGTTACTTGAACTAGAGTTAACAGTAAAACAACGAGTACTTTTGCCTCAAATTTTGGCTTTGGTGACCAAATAGAAGCTCCATCTCTGAACATTTTAGGGGCTTCAACTTGCATTTGCACTCATTTGCTGCATTACACACGATAGGGAAACGACAAAAGGCGGAGACCTACTCCAAGGAGTACCCTACATATATATATATGGAGTACCTGAATGGAGTATTCCTAAAAATCATGTATTAGTCAAATAAAATACTTTATGAACATGGTGAATCGTTTAGATGTACATATCCTGACATATTTTGAGCTTGTCAGCTCTCCCATCGTCGCAGTTCGATGTAGTACACGAACTGACCGCCATCTTGAAATTAACATTAAACTGCTGACCACTTCCAACGGAAAGCTTTAATGTATGAAAGTTATCGTTAATAGGCCGACTTCCATCTATTTCATATGATCTTCAAGAGGCCAAAAGGACGGACATCCTTCATTCTGCAACAGGTTTTTTACGTCTTTCACAATACCTGTTTATGTGTGGCCTCTGTAAGAGGTGTGGCGCTCCATTTAATAACACAAGGCCTCATGGGTTTTTTAATTGTGCGAAGCCATGAGGATACAAGCTCACATTTGAAGGTTGAGACTTCAAAAAGGTAATCCATATCTTAAAACTAATCTTCTCCTCACCCATCTATTTGTCGTGTAATAAAATTGAGGTATGTAAACAAACCAAAAAATAAAAAGGTGACGGGTCGGCAAATAAATCCGACTGGGGCCGTTGATTTCGGAAATGTGGTAAGCTTACATATTTTACCTCGTGCAGAACTCGAAACAGTGGGTTTTGTTCATCGCATGGAGTTTTTTGTCTTCCCATCAAAGGACACATTACACAGCGGTAAAACCAAAATGGAGGAACCAGTAAGACTGAGAGCCCTAGTCACCTATCCCCCCAAAAAAACTGGATTCAGGTATCGAACTGTGACATTCGGAGAGCCGGTAAGCTCAAAATATTTTAGGATATGTACATCTAAACGATTTGCCATGTTTATAAAATATTTCATTTTACCAATACGTGACTTTTAGGGGTACTCCATTAAGGTACTCCATAGGGTACTCTATGAAGTAGGGCTCCTCGTTTTGTCATCTCCCCACACGATACCTCTAAGCTAAAGATCGCTGATGAATTAATTTCTCTGATGATGATGATCACGCATAGGCCCCTAAAACGAAGAAAAGTCACCTCGAAAAACATATCGACATGAAACATTGTCACTAGAAAATTGATCGCCATATGGACGCAGTTTGTAGCCAGATGAGGAAACTTGTAAGAAATTAGCTTTTCCTGTAGGCCGCGGCTGAATGGCGGTTAGGTGACCACTTAAAATGGCACTTTAACAGGAAATGTATCTCTAGAAATACCAGGTGAACGGAAAAACTGGGTTTCACTCTCCTCACCTTCGTATTTTTCTGAAAATTTTCTGAAAACTTATTAGGCTCAAATTTTTGCAAATGTGTCGAGAATGGTATTCGATTAACAAATAGAAAAGCATGACTGTGCTCAGTTCTTTTGAAAAGCACGCAGGAAGCGGTTAGAGCACGAAAGAAGTGTAGGGAGAAACACTAGATGTTGTCAAGTGTTTCTCCCCACTTCTCGAGTACTCTAGCCGCTTCCTAATAAGGGCTTAACAGTAGAACAGGTCACGGCCAGGGCTCCGCCCCTAATTGTTTTGAAGAGACCTTCCTTATCCAAAAAAATTCCTTATCAAACAACAGTGTTGTCAACGTACTCTACTCTCTTAGAAAATAGCTTCAATACGCTAATCATAATCCTCGTTAGAATGGTTCAAATAATCTTATCGGTTGAACAAGACTAAAACTGTCAATCAAACTTTACAAAAAAACCAACAGGGTACATAATCTGCCGTAGTGGACAAAGTGAAATAGTTCAGCGAGCCAAATTTGTCACTTATGCCATAAGTTTTTGAGTCTTAATGCCGAATCTTAACGTGAAATGTTCATTAATTTCCGGCCGAAATTTTAATTCGCTCATAAAAACACGTGAGTTTTTTCATAAGAAACATAGAAAAGAGACTGCTCGAGGTGTGTGTTTTATGAGTGAACGATAGTCGAATTCACAGGAAAAAGAAGATTGCTCGGGATGACAGCGCCGTAAAACTCGGCAGCTGCGCTGATGCGGCCTTTCACTTAACGCATTCCGTACGTAAGTTTACTTACTAACCGAGTAACTAACTCTAAAAACTCCTAGAGGATTTTCGTCTCTGCACACTATATAATAATGCAAATAACGGCGCTCGGCATGTTCATGTTTGTAAACCTTTGTTTGGTTCTTCTGTTGCTACTTGCCTGCTTGCTTATTCCGAAATTTCACTTTCAAGGAAAAGTTAGACTTTGTACAAACTGACAGATGGTGTGACAGCTTTAGCTCAGCTCCATACACTGATAGAGCACGCCCTTTCAACCAATGACAACCCGAGTTATATCTTAACTTTATCATAATAATAATTTCATTTATCTTGTTAATATTAATAGGATTCATGTTTTTACTATTCTTGCACAATCATCAGTCAATTTAGTACATTTAGGTTGTTTTAAGAAAACTTTTTTCGATGAGAACATTTATTTTTTAAGCTAAATGTATTACTTTTTCATAAGATATCATTTTCGTATCAGTCGCGATTAAAGAAGGGGAAGTGTCAAACAGCTATTTTCTGAGACTTTGTGTTTATCGAACTACGTTTTTAGTTAAAGTTGAGTTATTAGGGTAAATTTGAGTTTTGGGTGAGTAAAATTAGTTCGAGTTAACTGGGAGTTCTAGTTACTCGAGATCGAGTTAGCTAAGGATGAATGACTGGGAAAATGGGGTCAAATTCAAGGGAAATCGGATCTTGTTCTACAGTAGTTATCAGGGAGTTCGTATTGACCGGGTTCGAGTTAGCAAGGTTCTGGTGTAAGATGTTTGTATAAAGGCGGTAACTAAAGCCAAGACTCATTGTGTTTAACAGGAAACCTGAAATATTTTGTTTTAAAAGGAGATATTGGTCTCCTGTTAATCTTTTCCGCGTGCTTTATTTCCTTTTTCCCATAGTTTTTCCCAAGAGCCACGGAACACTCGACTCACTCCGAGGCAGTATTTTCCTGCAAGCTGATTACCTGGTAAAATAATTTTACGCCTAAATAATTACAAGCCGAAACACGAGTTTCTGTGAAAACTCAAATTTCTAAGCCAGAGATCTCTCAGTGGCTTGAGCCAAAAGGACTTAGGCTATATTACTTCTCCGCTGAAATACCAACATACTGACGGACACTGATTAGTGGTTTGATCGTAACTGCAAAAAGATAGACTCAAAAGTAACTAAAACTATCTCTGTTAATTTTTCTGCACACTCGACCTACAACTGAAACCAGAGTTTTCTTTGGTGGAAACCTATTCCGAGTTCATGATTGTTCTTTTGAATTTCGTTTGTTAGAAACAAGTATGCTTACTTAATTTGATTTATTTTTATCACTGTTACCATGTGCACATTAGATAAACAATGATTGTAGGACAATATCGTTATTTTTCTCCAAAGATCTTTACAGTGACTGACCATCAAATAATCCTTCCCGGAAGATAAAATTTTTTTCTCTTAGGACTAAGCGAAGTTCTTTCTAGATGCACTATTTTCCTAATTTAGCGTCAAGATGAACAAATTCAGATTTAAATAAACACGAAATGGTCATTTTAATTTCGAGTAGGTTCGGCATTTCACGAACAATATCATAATGCGAAAACAACATTCCGTGATATATGTGACAAGGTTTCTCAGACATAAATACGAGTGCTACTACATAAGGGCTTCCAAGAATCCTCGACTAAATTCCATGGATTTGAAATACTTTCAGAATTCTAGTATTAATTTAATAAGTAAAGCTCCAAGGCATAAAGTTTGTACGCCCACTGCGGTTCTACGACAAAGTTTGGCGATTAGTCACGTGTCACTGAACACAAATGACGTTAACAAAAGTGTTTGAAGTCACGATAATATTCAAATGAAATATAATTTACTGTCGATTATCTTCAAAAGTTTCAATTTTTACATTTCTTTCCCTTTGAATTCGCTGGTTATGGCTATGTAATTTTCGTGATGTCTCCGCGTAGAGATTTCCGTTTGAGTTTCACTACGTCCAACATTAAGGTCACTTGTAGTAACCTTTCGCTATGAATAGCCGCAAAGAAGGGCAATTAAGGGATACAAAACGCGGTTCGATTTACATAGCAATACCAGCCTTGAAAAAATTAGGACTTTGCATTGTTTATATTCGAAATTGAAACTTTCTTGCTGTTACACACAAATTAAATACAAATTTGAAGCCACTGAACTTTTCTTGAAAAAAAAAAGACTTACTTCTCATACAGAATGCTCCACCGGAAGTTTTTCATTTTCTTCAAAGACCACGCATTTTTACCCTTCGGTTTTAGCTGTAACGATTGTGTATAAGCTTATTCGTCGGTCTAGATTTATCGAACCGGTGATCGAATAAATAGAACATAGAAAGAGCGTAATTCAATAAGCGAAACTCTGTCAGTCGAAAGTTTAGAGTTTTACTGAGTTAAAGTTTTACTTCAGTTTTACTGAAAAGAAACGGGAGGAGAGAATCATAAGCGCTGGCAAAAGGTTACAAAAAAATTCTCGCGCCGTGCTACAAGAATTATTTGTATGAAGAAACCCTGGAATGTATTAAGATTATAAAGCCGTTTTTTCTTTTTCTTTAATCGATATAAATCCAAAGTAATTCATTATAAAAGCTAAGTTTTGGCTTGACTTTGCGTGTTACGTGATGTGCCAAGTTTACCCTTACGGCCAAATAACACGTAACATCCGGTAACACGTTCTAAGTAAACTTAAACATTTCACTGATGTATTTCATATGCTTACCTGAAGCCAAAGGAAGAAGAAGATCGAAGAAAGCTACCCTGATGACTAGCTTCAATTGTAGCTCCGACATGTTGCCGTGGTTAGTTCATCTGAGAAACAGGGAACACCTCGGAATATTGACCGCAACACGCACGGTTTCCGGGTCGAATATGTGACGCTTGTGGAAGTGGATTTAAGACTGCAACCCTTGCTGATTCGTGACGATATCTGATTCAACAAAATTTTCAGCAATCATGATCCGTTTCTAATCGCACTCCCAAGCAAAAATGCAGTTAATAAATTAATGTTAACATAATTTTCTAGAGCGACACATCTTTACTGAGATAAAAAGAGAAATATTTTTTCTTCCAAATTACATCGATCACCCACGACAATAGCTCTTGAAGACCCACTAAAGCTTGATAATCAACTTGACTCGAGACGTGAGCGCTTTCGTAAAGTTCCGGTATGGTTAGTCTCCGTTCAGACTAAATTTGTCGAGCAGTGTTTTAAAATCCATTCGGTTTTGAGAGCGGTCTTTTAAGGTTTCGTTTTTGCTAGACAATTTATTCATATTAGCGTGGACAGTAGGCCAAACATATTTCAGTTACATTTCGAACGAGTCATCCACTAGACAACCTTAAGTGTCCATGAAACTGAAAGGAAAAAAAATTGAACTCCTACCTTAAGGGAATGAAGTGCGTCTCTTCTTATTTTTCTTTATTTTCAGCTCGACTTATTTGCATAGACCTGAAACGCGTCTACAGAGAAAAGCACAATGCGTAGACGATTACACAGAAAACAAGAATTGCTGTTGAAACATTAACAAATGCAGGGCTGGATTTGTTGAGTTAATACTTACGTCATGTGTGTTATTGGAGGCTATCATCAGTAAACTGTTTTGATAACAATCGATTCTTTATTGCGAAATGCTTGAGTTCCAATCAAGGTAATAATGCAGTACATCGTTTCCACTTAAGGCATCAAGTGAGCCGGTTTAACCCTTTACACCGTAACATCAGTATGCATATTCTCCACACTGTTCCCTATACTTTTCCTAAGGTGCTGACAAGGAGAATTTGTTTAACAATCAAGAGCTTCTTTAGTTGATGATCATTTCCTTTATTCTCCTGACCTTAATGTGTGATTCAGGGCTGATATTGTAAGGAGAAATTAGATGTTAGTCACTCTTAGGGGTTGAAGGATTAAGACATGGGAAATTCAAATTTCACCTGGGAGTATAATTTTTCCATTCAGAAACTTTCTTTTTGAAAGACAGACGTCTACCGTGGATTCAAACTGTAAAACATTCGCACCCCCGATGTATAACATGTTAGGACGGGAGTTTGTCGCAGCAGAGCTCCTGTCCGCTGTCAGAGCCCCATACCAAAGAAATAAAACCGTGTAAACTCATCAAACCGAGAATATGCGGTTGCAGTATCACGGGGGTGCACCCCTTCGTAGTTATACAAAACGGTTGTGGTGTGAAAACTAAATAAAGTAAGATTTTAAAGGAAAATGTTTTCTCATCAGCACCCTTCTAATCAAGGATTACCATCTTGTACTTTCATGGTGACCTAAATGAACATAGTACGCCTCGTCTGATTGGTAAATTCAGTTTGCAGGGGGATGCTTTATCAGGTAATAGAGCCCGCATTTATTATAAGGTTATAAATCAGGAGCCGAAGGCGAGTAATTTATAGGCTTTCCCAGTGTTCTCCCAAAATTCCAAGTGGCTTTATCACGTTATCGAGTCGGAAAAAAAAAAGATGCGTTCTATTGATTTTCTAACAAAGATATAACAAATGCGGGCTCTCTAACCTGATAAAGCATTCGCTTGGAAACTGAATTGACCAATCGGATGGTACTAGACGCTAGGTGTTATGTTCCTAGCCTGAGAAAAGTAGCCGTCGTTTCACTGCCTTCGTTTCCTTTTAGCAAGGGAGCGAAAGGACGGCTGCTTTTCTCAGGCTATTCTGTTCCTTAAAACAAATTGTGTATTGGTAATAATATTAATACTGCCACTCCTAATAGCTGAAATTTAAAAACGATCTCTGGCTAAAATGATTAAAAACTACGAGCTTTGGACTGCCCGAACTGCAATCTTCGACGGGTAAAATGAATGATAAGAAAGCGATGAGAGAAATAATTATTTCGCAGCTGATGTCTTTATTTAAAAATCTCTCATCGCTTTCTTATCATTCATTTTACCCGTCGAAGACTCCAGTTCGGGCAGTCGAAAGCTCGTAGTTTTTAATCATTTTAGCCAGAGATCGTTTTTTAATTTTAACTATGTTCCATCCGATCCTGGCTGCGGCCCTTCAATATTTTCACTCCTCAGTAGTATTGTAAGTAAAGTTGCATGGCAAAGAATATCATTATTGTAGATAACTAAAAAGATTCAACTATACATCGGCTTGCATGTTAAGCGATTTCTTATATTTTAAACAATTTTTTGAACTTATTTGTTGGAAATCGGGTCCTGCAAGCGTGGAAGCCACCATAAGTTGATTGACTTGTGAACTTTATCACAACAGAGCTCAAACAGTGAAGTAACAAATTGTAGCTGTGAAAATATCAAGTACAACGAGGCTAAAAGGTATAAACATGCGTAACAAGTATGTGCATGAAAAACATATCAAACTGATTTATGCGCTGAAAATGTTACATCATAATAAAAACCTAGTCTAAGACCATATACTTTACGAGGTTTTGACAAAATTCTTTATAGAAGAAAATTTCCTCCCTCTCAAGGTCATTATATCACTGGACAGATTGACCAGATAGATCATTTAGGATATGTTGTTTCCTAGGCAAATGGGTCCGTTTTGAGAAAAAAACTTTTGTGCACGAACCATTGCACTCGAGACTTAAGGCATAGTTTCCGCAATACAAACCGACTTAGGACTTACTGTAAATTGGCTTGAAGATATGTTTTCGTACAAACAAGTACGTCTACGAATCAGTACTTAACAATGGTTGGGTGAGAGATTAAAATAAACACCAGGGTCGCATAGACTTCAACCAAGAGATGATTTAAAGGGAAAATTTACTCCACGTTCTCAAATGAGGTGAGGCGACGATGAGGATTCGACTTATAGGCTTAAATTACAATAATTACAATAGTTCTAAGGAAATTGATAAATAGAATGAAATAGATAGACTGACAACTTAGAGTTATATCCTCCTAGCGATGTGAACGGGTAGATGGCCATTCCTGATGATATAGACTGAAACTCGACGTAATGAAAGCGAACGCTGATATAATATATACTGAAAAACGAGAACTGAGAAAGATTTTCAAACAAATCACATGATGATCGACGACTTAAATTTCAAATCAAGTGTAACGCAAGAAAGGGAAATTAAAAGTCACACACGTTTGAATAGTTGCAATTAAAGCTGGGTTAAGATAACACACTGTTAATGTGAAATTTGGTTTCAGATCTGAAGGCTTACAAGAAAATTCAGTTTAGTTTTTCTTTTCTACAATTTGATGATTGGATGCTCTGAGAAGAAGAGGGACATCTGTCTTAAAAAGGCTCTTGAATAAACAAGTAAAGCAACCTGGACTAAACTTTAACCATGTGTCTACACGAAGTGCAAATAGCCTTGATTTATTTATGAAGCTCATATAAACTATGTTCTTTAATTTGGTTATTGAATTTTACATTTTATCTTAGGATTCTATTGTAATTTTATTTTTAACTTTTCTTAGATTTAACAATTTTTTAGCTTCTATATATTATAATTTCTACTCAGGACCAGCCTGAAAACCACCTGAGGGTGAGGTTGCCTCCTGGCTAAAGATATTTGTAATTATTATTATTATTATTTTTATCATTATTATGTTATCGCTAATCGGCCTTCGAACAACTAGGCCCAGAGCTTATTTACATCGACTTCATTATCAAGTTCTCTGGATTTTTTTTTCGATTTAAGATATTTTAACCATTTATATCGAAATAATGTTTCCTCTTGGTTAAAGGGACAAATGAACTGACTAGTGAGATTCAACCATTCCACGAAGCAATCTGATTGTAGGATCTTTTAATTGGTGCTGCAAAATTTGATGTGATATGAGACTTTAATTTCAGACGCCGATACCACCTGCCTCAACATTTTCATAAATTCTATCATTATCATTCCCTGTTTTTTCCCTTACAAATCCTACATTGCAATAATAAGGAGTCGAGTATCTTCTTTGTAATGACGCATAAGCAGATGGTTCAGGTGACTGGACTTCAGGAGGCCGAAGTTCCATATAATGAATAGGCTCTGACTCTTGTCGTACAACAGGTGGGACAGGGATGTCATGGTCTGTAATATAGTCTTCATTCCTTCTCACACCTTTCCGTAACTGCCAAATGAGTCCCCCAATTATAACGAACAACACCAAAACAATAACGGACAGAGCAATGAGAATAAGAAGATAGAGTTGTTGTTTTCCTATAACATAACAGGAATCCGTTTTAATGCCTTAGCAAAACTTTGTTCTATATATGGTTGGGTAGCTGCAGTAATCTTCTTTCTGCTGAAGGGATTCAAGAGCTCCTCTTTGCCTTTCTGCTAAAGAGATTCCATAGCTCCTCTTTTGTTATTTTTACATTGTCTACATTACCTTCTAAGGAGTAGAGTGCTAGTTTTAAAACCTAATAGTATATAACATAACAAGTTGTGCTCTAAGCCTACCATTGTCTTCGGTTGTCGTAGTTTCATCAGCAGCAGACGTATTGGTTCCTGCAGGGGTGGATGCTCTACTAGGGGTATATGTTACTTCAATCCCTGTGAAATTGATCAATCGCAATTTTATTATTATCCAACTTGACCCAAGTAGATTAAAAAAATACAAATGAATCAAATGGCTTTAGGATAACCAATGTCAACCTGAAAGTGCAGTATCAGAGTCATTCTGTTCCTTGGGGTACCTGACACTAATCAAGCCAATCGGGAAGTTTATTTCTCCAACTGTCATTATGGTATTATATAAATAAAGGCTATCCGTGGTAGTCGCTTTTTCTACTTTTACTGTACCCTTAGTATGGCTTGTTTTAAAGATTGAAAGAAACAGCGTCAATGGCAAAGTGAAGCTAAATTTTTTTCTTTCCCGTGTCCACAAATTTCTAGGTATGGGCTGTAGCTAGGTAGCTGCAGCAATCTCCTTTCAACCGATGAGATTCCAGGTCTCCTATGTTGCTATTTTTACTTTGTCTACAGTATCTCCCAAAAGGTAGAGGTTTAAAACATATATTTCATGAACATTTGTGCTCTAATCCTACCAGAGTCGTTGGTCGCCGCAACAGTTTCAGCAGCAGAAGACGTAGGGGTTTCTGCGGTAGTGGATACTCCACGAATGGTTGTAATCACTGTGAAATTGATCAATATCAATTTTTTTATTTTCTACTGAGTTGACCAATTTTTCCAAAATGTATTGAAAAGAAAAAAAGGATGTCGGCCATGTCCACCTGAAAGGTCAGCACAAAGTTACTCTGTTCCCTGGAATACCTGACATTACTAAAGCCAATCGCTAAGTTTACTTTAGGTATCCTCTTCCCTCCCTACCTATAGGATATCCCTGCGGTTTCCACGGGGTTTCTGTGGTAGTTGCTTTTTTTCTACTTTCACTGTACCTTAAATACGGCTTGCTGTAATGCTGGCGATTGAAAGAGACAATTACTGGCAATGGCAAACCCAGCCAATAATTTTCTTTCCTGTGCCAACAAATTTCTAGACGTGGGCTATTGCTGGGTCGCTACAGCGATTTCCTCACTGTAAAGAGATTCCAACTCTCCCAAGGTTACATCGCCAACAGTACCTCCCAATAGGTATTTTCAAAACATATATTTCATGCACTTTGGTTTTTAATCTTACCACTGTCCTCGGTTGTCACAGCTTCAGTCGCAGAAGGCGTATTGGTTCTTTCAGTGTTGGATGCTCTACTAGTGGTAGATGAGCTGGCTTTCACTGTGAAATTGATCAATATCAATTTTCTTTTGTGACTAGGTTGACCAATTTTGCCAGAGTATTTAAAAAAAAAGGGCAATGAGTCAAAAACTAAACTCTTGGGTTACCCAGTCGACCTGAACGTTCTGTAGCAAAGTTATACTGTTCCCTGGAATACCTGACATAGACCAAGCTAATAAGGAAATTTACTTCAGTTATCCTCTTCCCTCCCTGCTAATAGAATATCCCAAGGGTATCGTAGGGGTATCCGTGGTAGTCACTTGCATCCACTCTCACGGTTACTTTAATAGGTTTGTTGTTAATGTTGAACGTTGAAAGAAAAAAGCGATGTCACTGCAGGATTGACTTGAAAGGTAGCAATGGAATAGTCCATAAAAATGTACCAGCATTAAGCTTGGGTAATATGAATTAGTGATGTGGTCATTTCTACTGACAACATAAAATCACATGTTTCAAACACTCTTCTTTTCCTCGACTGAGAAACTCATTCTCTTTTGAAACACTAGAATCAGACTAGGCCATTCGGGCATTTACTTCAATTACGCTCTTTTCTGTTTAATACAGAGGAACTTTTGGTTCTTAATTTGTTTTAATTTTGCTGCTCAGTGATGCTGCTGAAAGACGATCTATAGCAATGGCAAAATTTGTAATAATAATGTGTTGTTTCAGATTTCATATCAGGTCCTATTAATGTGACATTTATTTCGAGTTTTACAAATGTAGTTCTTTCCAGAGATAAATAATTTTCCTTTAGTATAGAAATTATTCATATGATGGACGATCCTCGCAGTAGATAGCGCTATTTGAGCAATAGCGAAATTCAGACCTGAAAAAAATCAGGTCTGAATTTCGCTATTNCCATGACTTTTGGTTCTTACTTTTTTTCTTGCTTTTTTTTAATATTGCTTCTTAGTGACGCTGTTGAAAGACGATCTATAGCAATGGCAAAATTTGTAATAATAATGTGTTGTTTCAGATTTCATATCAGGTCCTATTAATGTGACATTTAGTTCGAGTTTTACAAATGTAGTTCTTTCCAGAGATAAATAATTTTCCTTTAGTATAGAAATTATTCAGTTTTGGAGCAGAGACTATGATAAGGCTATCTTGGCATAGCTTAGGTCGCTCCAGCAATGACTTAGCTCCACACTGAAATATTCATTGTAATTTCCATTTACTGTTCCTGCAGTACTCAAGGTTTTTGACTCAAAAGATTGATAGAATATAGGCAGCAGTGAAAAAACGCATAATGATGCACTATAGTTGAGAGTATCATAAATTGGAAGACTGGATTTAGACTAGGGCATTACGCGTGACTACAAAATACTTTGTAGTCACGCGTTGTGACTACAAAATATTTTTGGTGTTCGCTTTTGTTTTTCCGTTCCTTTTAGTACTGCTAGTTGTTGATGCTGCAATCAAAGTAGTCAATGTGAAATTGATCCTAAGTCTATCAATTTGATCATCATCGAAAGTATGAAAATTAATGCGAGGGTATGCTACAGAGAGAGAACTTTCCTTTCAGGTAAATAAATGTTGTTTTAATCTGATTTTGCTTAAATGAAAATTTTTTTTTCAGATCATCAGTAAACTAGTCACCTGCTATTTTCTCCTTTCCAAAAATCTCCGTTGTCATACACACATGGCCTTGGTATCCTGCGGGCAGGAATCGTAGATACCTTGCTGTGACTGTGGCTTTAAGATCATGCTTCCTCCTTAAGGTCTTCTCATTATATCCTTGGAAGATCTGAAAGGTTTGAAAAGCCCCAATTAATAGAAAATATTTCATTTACTGACTTATGCAATGATGAGACCTCAAAATGAATAGATACACCTAGGTAGAGTCCCCCCCTCCCCATATCTTATACACCCATCTTTGCTTATGTAATTTGTTAGCTCAAAGAAGGCTGTGACAAGGTGGACGTGCTCAAAAACAGAATATCAGTGTTTACAGGTCTCAATCATTGAAAAAAAAACCTTAAAATTTATTTATTCGATTATTACAGAAGAACAGTCGTAATTGTTTAATTTTACGTTTGGCGTTTCAAGAAAAATAAACCAATGTACCTAGAGTTATCAACGAAAGAAACATTTGCCTCACGATTTTGAGTCAGGCTAACATAGAGTTGTCACCTTAACTTTTCCGTTTTCCTTGTAGTCTTCCCAAGTTGATCCATTTGTGGATATTCGTATTGTATAGTTCTTCACAGGCTTGTTTGCTGGAGAAATTTCGTGAGCGGACACAGCGCAGATGGTATGAAGCGTGTGTAGATTAATCTCTATATATGAGCTGGTGACACTTGTTTCTGCACACCCTTTTAATTTTGTGTTGTTGGTGGTCTTCATGCCGGTCTCGTCAGGTGTGCCGCTTTGAATTATTCCAGTGTCGTTACGAAGACTACCGCAGTTAGCTTCAGACAAAGAGAGCATAAAAAAGATTTTTGTAACATTGTACCTACGGTAAGTGAGGGCATCCGGTTAATGAAATTCAGTAAGAGGGCAGAAATAAACGTCAGATCCCGCCATTTTCAACCACTGTGAGTACCTTCTCCCACAAAAGATAAATTATCCATATTCAATTCGAAAAAAACCTGATTTCTTAATTTTTAAACGGGATTCCAGATACCTCATTCGAAACTTTGGGTTTAGACTCTACAATCCAGATTCTGGAATTTCGAAATTACGAGACATAGGAGTAAAATGGCAAATCTTAAAGTCAGTTATCGTGGAAGTGCTTAAAAGTTGCACTCATGTATACACCCAAATTACACCGTCATAGAAAATATAAACGATTACAACCAAAACAGGAAAAAGCCAATTTGGAGTTGCATAGCATTAAAAACTACCCTCTGGTCATATATGCCCGTCAGGCGAACTATTTTCATTGAATTTCCACTAAATATTTTTTCAAACCTCTTGAGAATGTTAGATTTTGTTTAGAGATTTACGCGATTCTAAGAATTGAAAAGGAAATGTGTATGGTAATGCATATAATGCTTTTCCTACATAATAGTTAATTCTAATTTGCCTTTTCCATTTTTTTGCCATTTTTAATTAGGTGTAAATTCCAACGTAGGAAAAGATTCGACCCAGACCGTAAAGATGTTTATGAAAGCTCTATGTTTATGACGGTTTTATATTCTTATAGATGGATGAACAAAAACTGCTCCTGACCATTCCACAAAGGCTCCGAAGTCGAACTCACATTATTGAAATCTGACTTAGATAATGTATTGATTTCAAGTGTTTTTCACTGATTTAAGAGATAACAGCTCTGTACAAGTTTCGACAAACAGCTAGGGTTTTTGAAAACCGTTGTATCATTTGTTATCTATCGCATCACCTTGACACAAAGATAATTTGAGCGTCTAAAACTAAAGCATACAAAGGCAATTTGACCTGCAACGCGATAAAAATTCGAACAACAAACTGTTATATAGCAGAGTTTTGAAGGAAGCTGTAACCATTGCTGCTATACTTGTAGAATCTGAATGTTGCAAGGCGTGCTTCCGAACGTTGTAAATCAATTTAAGGCGAGTTTTTTTTTCTGATTCTATCCAGTTTCTTGTTTTGCGTCGCGCAAACTTTCCTTTTACGTCTCGAAATCACGGTCACGTCCGATCTTTGATGTCAGCAAGCGCAAAATGCAAACTAGTCAAAGGAATTTTTGTAGTTCTCACCTGAGGCCACACTTCTCGGAAGAAGAAAATAGAAAAATGCCAGAAGGAAATATAGCACGGAATGTAACACTGTCATGTTGGCTTTTAATTTACCCATTCATCTGAACAGGATAGAGCCTTGATCACAAGTTTAACTACTTTTCTGGGTAACCCCCCTCTAAGACAGGAAGTCTTAAATTTATGATTTGTAATCAGTTGCAAGTGGCATTTTGGAACCTAAGCGTAAATTTGGACCAGAAAACGGTGGGAAATTAGTACCCGAAAAAACTTTATAAACTTAACAGTGAGAATAAAAAACTTTGTTATTTCATACACAATTAACGAATATGTTCTACTTTGTATTTGGTCACTGATACAATTTTTTACCTCTGATATAAACAATTGTCAATTCTGGAATTTTGTGTTGTTGAATGTGACATCACATGTTAATCCTCAAAACCGCAGAAAGTTGAACTGAATGAAATTCACAATATTAGTCAGTTACATAATGATGTCTCCTTGGTAAGTGCAAATTCAATGGAATGCCATTCATTTACTAATTAAGAGAAAACCCTCCTAAGCATTATTTCAGACCAGCTTTATATCTTCATTTTCTTGCTCAGTATTAGTTTTTTTCCTCCAATATTATAAGATGATAAAGTGCATCTAATTACCCGTCTAAACTTGGCTCCTTTCTTTACTCTGCAACGTGATGTATATAGTGGAAAGAATCAATTTAGTGCACTCCCTGAAGGTGAATGTTTCGTAGACCACGAGTTGTGTCCTCTCACAGTGAGATTACAGCTAATTTTTTATTCTTATCTCTTCCAAATTGCTCTCCAAATTAGGTGATTCATACAAATAAAACAGCATACAAAATAGACTTAGTGTAAATATGACATTGAATTTACTGAACCATTACAACATCCGCTATTCAATGCACGACAACTTACCTAAGTTTGATCTTTGAAATCTGTTTCTACGCAGTATGACACAATCTCTCCTTTCTTGATCTCGAATGCAGAAAGAAGATACTGACTTCAACCCTTGAAACGTCAGATTTTCAAAATTTTATAATTCAAAGGCTGTTCATCTTTGTGTTGAGTTACGAGTTCGAAGATGTGACCGAAACAGCACGCAGGATCAATGGTAAAAAAACGACAAGCTTAGTTATGCACAAGTTCTTGCATCGTTGAAGTTAAACTTATATTATAATTTCTCACGTTCGCGTCTGTGAAAATGCCAGTATTAATCTATTACATAACAAACCAGAAACTAGTCACAGCGAAAAAATAGAAATAACAATATGCATAAAATAAACAATACCTAAAAGACCAAAAACTCTAGAAGTTAATGGCACGTAACAAGATAAGAATGTTCTAGACAGGCGTAGGGTAAAATATGGAGTGGACCATTGCACCCTTGGACTATTTGACCATTTTTGAGCATTTCTTTTTGGACCATCTTTCGGCACAGTGTTTTTAGTTTTTATTAGTAGGGAGGGATGGGTAGGTATAATTTTTCATCTACGTGGGGTGAGGTAATAATATGGGTAAATGCTCTTGGTTGAAGGAAATTTTAGCCTGATCTTATACATGGAGTTAGAGCAAAAGAACTCGACCGATCGGAAGGTTGAATCGGTCATTTCACCACGTGTGTGGAATGAATAAATCAGTGCATTTGCTATTTGATAGAATAATTCCGCCATTAAGCCATACAATGCAAATCTTTTATTTTGAACAATTAGCTGGTACTATAGAAAACTATGCTGTGTTAAAGGTGTCATCAGTGAACGTTGTCAATGAGCCTTATATTAAAACAGAACTCAGACAGTTAAGTTCTGATCGACTGTAAAAGAGTAGAGCTGTACAAATTTCAAGTAAAATGTAAAAGAATAAGCAACTGTATCAAGAACATTCATCGAAAATGCTGAAAACGATCTAATGAAGCTGTGAAAATGTTCACATCATAATAAAATCTACTCTTGGAGAATATACTTTGATAAGGCTTGACAAAATTCTTTATGAGAGAAGGTTTTCTCAATCGGTCAACATCAATATCATCAGACAGACCGGGGTCCAGTTATTCGAAGGACGACTCGGCACTAAGTTGAAGCTAATCTAACGTTAAATTTTAATAAGGTCTCTTTATTCCTTTGTTGAAAAGTCTTCTTTGGATAGTTTTCTCAGGTCTTTTTAGAGCATTCAGTCATCAAATTTTTCGATAAAATGAATTTTGTTTAAATATTT